AGCAATTGCTAGGGTTTTGGATTTTCGCTACTTTGAGGTGTTTTCATTCTTACTCATTCGAATTATATTTTCTTGGATTTCAATTATGATTATGTGTAACTAATTCCTTTTGCTAGGGCGAGGCCGTAAGCCTTAGCATGAATATGTAGTTTTATTAATTTGCTTATGAATGGATGCATGTTTGCTTTGAATTATTAATCACTGTGTTTAAAACTATCTATCTATTTTAATGATTGATCACCATTAGGATATGTAGACAAGTAATTTGATGCAATTTCTGTTGGAACATCACCCTGAAATTGAGGAGGGCTTCTTGTGATTAGTAATTGTAAGTTCACTTAAGGCGAACATCACGCTCTTAAGGGTTGCATGGTTTTTCAAAGGGTTTTCACAAAGCTTAATGAGTCTTGCATGTTTATATTTGATCTGAACATCACAGACGGATTGCATGTTAGATATACGTTTTCGCTTGAACATCACAAGGAAAATATGCATTAGGAAAACCTAACCTTCAAAGCATATATGTGGAAATTCATAAGTAATTGATAGAATTGCATAGGATTGCGACGGTGTTGGCTAAGCCCTAGTTTTCTCTAAATTGTTAGTCTTTAAAAAGAAATCGTTTTTCTTCTTTGCTGTTATTATTTCCCAACTTTCAGATTTCTTTTACTGTTAGTTTAATCTTTTCAAATTCATAAACTTCAAATCTTTGATAAAATCTATTTTAGTTATTAATTAAGAGTTAGTTTAATTACAGATTAGTCAAACAATCTTTGGGGACAACGACCTTGCATGAGCATTTATACTACAATTACCTTGTATTCTTGCAAGTATTTTCAGTGATTTTAACCCTGTTTGCGCAGGTACTAAAAATCCTATCAAGTTCGCCATGTAGAAAAGCATTCTTTACATCAAACTGGTGTAGTGACCAATCCAAATTAGCTGCAAGGGATAATAAGACTTTGACGGTGTTTAACTTTGCAACTGGAGCGAAGAATGTCGATTCTTTCGTTCAGCAACACTATTTTGTTGCGGTGTCTGAGGACAAGTCGTCTCATGGATAATTCCATGTTATTGTAAGTAAGTCTAAAAGTCATGATTGACAAATTCTCCATTGTCGGAGCGAAGAATCTGGATTTGAGCATTAAACTGAGTTTTCATCTGTTTGTGGAATTACTAAAAACGGGAAAATACTTCGTTTTTATTCTTCAGCAAATAAAGTCATGTCATCCGTGTAAAATTATCTATGAACGTGACAAACCATCGAACACCAGAAAGAGCAGTGATAGGTAAAGGTCCCCAGACATCAGAGTGAATTAACGTAAATGGAGTAGTACACTTGTTCGTACTCAACGGGTAGGGCACACGGTGACTCTTGGCCAAAATACAAGTATCACATGTGAAGTCAGAGTCCTTGAAACCTGGTATAAGATGCTTCATATAACTAAAAGACGGATGTCCCAATCGACGGTGCCACAACCAGATTTGCTTTTGTTTGCTATCAAAAGGATGCGTCACATTGTTACCCATGCCAGGACTGAAGTCATCGACATAATATAGCCCCCCTCTCTTAGTACCACGACTAAGAATCTCCTTAATGTGAATATCCTGAAGCAAACAAAAACTCGAGTAAATGAATACACAACAATTCAATTGTTCAGTAAGTTGACTAATGGACAACAATTTAATGGATAAAGATGAAACAAGTAAAGTATTAGACAGTGTGAGAGAGGATGAGAGTGCAACAGTGTCAGCCCCTGTCACAGGATAAGTAACTTCATTAGCATTTGCAATACAGGTTCGTCGAGGTTGTGTAGTATTCAGAAAATCATCAGGATCAAACGTCATATGATCAGTTGCACCGTAATCAATTATCCAACTCATGAAATCAATCTTAGCGGAAGTATGGAATCCATAACCAGTACCATTACTGGTTGTATTGCGTTGTCCTTGATCTTTAAGAGTAGCCTACCAATCGGGATAGCCATGCAATTTAAAACAAGTCTCACAAGTGTGTCTCGAATTACCACAATATTCACAATTTGGTCCATGTGTCGAGGTCGTTAGTCGAGAAGTCATAATTTGTGCAGCGGAAGATGTATATGATACAAGTTTAGTAGGAATTCGGATCGGGATTTGAGCATGAGTCGAGGTCTGGGTCGGAGTCGAAGTCGGGATCGAGGTCTGAATCAAAGACAAATTCAAAGTCGGGGTCGGGGTCGGAGTCATCATTGGAGTGGGAGTCGAGGTCGTTGTTGGAGTCGGAGTTGGAGTCGAGGTCGTCGTCGTCGTCATAGTCGAGGTCGAGGTCGTCAAAAGAGGATCCTGATTCAGGATTAGATTCGGGGCCAAAGTCTGCATCTGTAGGAGCTGAGTCATCTGGGCACTCAACTCAGCTATGGTTGGTTGAGAAGGAGAGAAGAAGTCTGTGGTGCTACCTCCATGAGGGATGAAAAAATCACTAACTCCCATAGCAGTGGCGGGGGTGTGAAACTAGAATGAGCAATTTCAAGATCGCCGCTCTGATACCATGCTAAAATATAAAAACTATGAGAGTATTTGTTTGTGGGAATTTTCTATATATTCTTCTTCTTGTAAGAGGTCACATTTATAATACAATGAAACTTGAATGAGCAAGTAAATAATAAATTCATAAATCTATTTACGATAGGAAATCAAGAATTAAAGTAAATCAATTATAATTATAATAGAAATTCTTGGTGTGTAAGAAAAGTAAGTTAATATCCACAAGTCACGCTAACAGTAACTGCCAACCCATTTGATCACTAGCGAAGGGATTTATTTCAAAGTAGGGACATAAAGCAGGTGAAGTGCAATAATATAAGATAGATAAAGTCAGCGTATAACTGTAGAGGGTTCCTTAGCTCTGTCCTCAATCTATAAACAAAAAACAAAGGATCTTGTTTGACAATTAACTATTCAAATTGTGCAAAGATCGTGTTTATATAAGTGCAGACCGCTTCTGTACATAAAATATGCACACACAAAGGAACTTGGGTGTTACAAGTAGGGATCAAATGCCACAGTTTTTCTTCTTACCTTATAAAGAACAAAAAAACCTAATTAAGAATTTGGTCTTATTTCAACTGGTAAATTTCGTTATTGGCCCCAAAAACTGGTAACTTTCGTTTTTTGTTTTTGTTTTTCTAAAAATAGAAGCGATAATAAACTAATCTAAATTACTATGAGGTGAATTCAAACTCGGATGAATGGGAATACCTCCGCTCTAGCAACTTTGATCAAGGCCATCTAGGATCTAACTTTTGCTTTTGTTCTACCAGATACTACTAATTACTACTAATCTTGATTTAAATAAAGGCAAGCTCAAATAACAAGAATTCAAGGGACAAAGTTTTATGGTGCAAATCAGAACAATTTGCTTTTTATATAATTATAACCCGCATAACAAAAGAAATTACAACAAATCAATGAATATATCTACTCCTAATCAGGCGTATACATTTCCGTCTACTAAAAGTTCACAAACCCCACAGAAGATTTAAACCAAAGTTGAGCAAGATGAAGTTGCAGGGTCATATAGAGCAGGAAGCAAGTACTTTCTTCCATTAGCGCCATTGGCATTGTAGCTTGCGCCAGTCGAGGGCTCCTGCAACAAGTTCCCAGCATAACCAGGATAAGCCCCCTTCCCATAAACCCCAGGGCAAGCTGAAGCAGCCTCCAATGGCGCCTCAGCTGGGCCCTGGAAGTAGCCGTTTCCAAAAGGGTTGGTTGCTGTCCCGGCCAGGAGGCTAGCCAGGTTGATGACCATCCCATCTAGGCCCACGTCGTTGTTGGGGGCCACCAGTGGTGGGCTCTGGGGACCATAGATGGGCTGGTGGAATGGCCAGGCGCATTGCCCTGGGCACTGTCTCTCTGAGTTTCCAACCCAAATGTAAGCAAACTTGGAACGCTTGCTGCCCTTGATGAGACCAGTTTTGGTGGAGCCCAAAGCAGACCCGTGGGTCCCGCATCGGTTCATACAGAACCCATCAACAGTCACGTCGGCAGACGTCAAAACGACGTTGATGGCATTTTTCTGGTCACCCTTTGAGGCCAATTGCACTATCTGTTTGGTGGTTAGGGATTTCCCAAGGGAGTATTTTTCATCAAGAATCTGTCTTCCCAAAGAGAGGGAGACAGAGGTCTTCTTGTTAGAGCTGAGGTGGTAGTATTTTTCAGTGGTTTTCCACCACGTGGCGACGGATGGTGGGGTGGTTTTTGGGGGTGAAGATGAAGACAAGGAGGTGATAAAGTCTGAGATGATGGCTTTCTGGGAAGGCTTGAAGTTGCCATACCAAACGAGGTTGATGGCTATTTTGCCAGAAAGAAGAGGGCCATTGTGGTATTTCAAGAGCTGGGTTTGGCCTTGGACAAGCTCACTGAGCTTCCTTGTTGCCAAGGAGACTTGGAAAAATCTGCTAGAACCCAAAGAGACTTGGATCAAAGAAGCAACAAGAAAGAGTTTCAAAAGAGAAGAGGAAGAACCCAAAACTGCCATTTTCCTTTCGGGGGTTTTTCAGGAACAAAATAGATGGGTTTTTGGTTTCCCAGCTGAGAGGGCTTGTGATTTTTGGTGTGGAATGAGAGTGGGGGTGAAAGGGTATTTATATAGCTGAGGAAAAGGTTCAAACATAAGGGTTAATTGAATGTGGGAAGGGGTTAGGAAAGAGAAAGAGGAGAGAGAGAGAGAGAGATATGGGTTGCTTGCTTGCTTCCCATTCACGACTTGCGGACTGTGGCCAGTAAGAAAAAAGTGACCAAACGGTACTCCAAGCGCGTTTCTTTATTTCGAAACGATTAACTCATACCTGCTCTCGGCTCCCCACTCACGCTCCCACCATGCATTTTGTTTCCACGCTCCAACCACAAATATCAATCAATACCCTTTCCTCTTTTATTTCCTTTTTCTAATAAAAAAAAATACAAGTACACAACTGAAAAGAACCAAACAAAACATCCTTTCCTTTTATAAACATGTGAGAGAAATTTAGAATTAAAATAGCATTTGGATACTGTGAGGGGGTTTGTATTGTACAATTATTCCTTCCACTTTCACGAAAAAAAGGTGATCTTAATTTTATAAATGAAATATATTTAGGGAGTTTCACTAAAACACCCAAAATGGAGGTTGAAATTATAAAAAAACCCAACACCCAAAACACTTTATAAACACACCAAAAACCCATCATTACACACACTCAAAACCCATTTATAAACACACCCAAAAAGTTGACTTTGGGGTTGATTTTGGGTGTGTTTCTATGTTTAAATAGTGTTTGGGTTTTTTTATAAATACATGTCTAGGATTTGGTTTATTTATAAATTTGTAATATATTTAATATAATAATGTAACCCTATATCAATTGTATTTATTTTCTTCATGTGACAATGTAAAGTCATTTTGCTTATAATCTCGATAAAATTTACTTTGCACCCGAGAGCATATGATGAATGCTGTAGACATGTGACAATACATCTAAATGACAATTTCTTTTAAAATACGTGAAATTTTACTTAATTAAACAAGTTTATATGGATCATGCAAGCAAATCACAATTAAAACAAACTGTTATTTTTACTAAAGTAATTGTCAAAATTATTATTGTAATTTGAATTTGTGGAGGTGAATGAGCAAAAAGCATAGAGAGTGAGAGTAGAGATTTGTCCTCATTCCAGAAAGAAAACGTGTGTTACAGCCAATGCCTAAATGGATATTAATTATGGGTAGGGCAGGGTGAGGCAGAGCCAAAGGCACAGGCAAAGGCATCCTTTGTGGAAGTAAGTGAAACCTTTTTCCTCCAGCTACAAGACAAAAAAGCATTACAGCTTAGCTACAGATCGCAAAACCACCGGAATTGACCAAACCGCCCTTCATTAAACCCCCGCGCATCCCATTATTCGGCGGGCAATACCGTCAACTCACTATCGAAGATAGACGTTGCGTTTACAGGCTGGCTTGTGGGCAGAAAAAATGAATGTCTATCGGGAAGCGTGGACTGAGCCAACTGGCAGTCATCTGGTATCCGATGTGGGACGATCACGTGAGGGCACGCGCACTGTAAGTCCCCGCGTCACAGTGTCGCAGTCTCTCCGCTCACACAGAGCTCGTGAGTGATTGGTGGTGAGCTGGAACCGGGAGGGAAGGCGAATCTTACTTATAATCATTTAATTATAACTAATTAAGGTTAATTAAATGATGTGGATGTAAATTTGAAAAGTCCTTGAGGCGCCAGCTGGATCAAGCTAAGTACACGTAACAGCTTGCAAGTCTAAAAACCTGCTGGGCTGATGGGTTCATAGGTGGAAGGTTTTCACCTAATCTTTTTATGACCAATAAATCCAGAGGAAGGAATTTATATCATCTGACACGTCATTATTTCCATGTGTATATTAAATTGTTTTATTATTGTTTTTAATTTTTAATTGGCTCTTCATAACTTAAGTCTTGAAGGATCTTATCTTCCATTTTAGGGAAATGCATTAAATTTGACGTCATCTTTCATGCATGTAAGAAGTAATTAAAGTGGTGGTGATTTATGAATAAACCCTTCAATTTTTTATTTTTGTGTGTGTGGCTAAAAGTCATTTTTTGTCCATGTAGTTTACTTCTTTGTCACTTCTTGTTTTTGTAGTTTCAATTTAGTGAAAAAGATATAAACTGTAAGGATCAAAAGTAACTTTTGAACTTTTAAAAAATACAAGCGGATAGTGTTTTTTTTTTTTTTTTGTCTAAGATATGAGAAACATTTATATGAAACGAGAATAACACTATTTTATTATCTTCGACCAATCACAACATGTCACATATGATAAATTTTTCACTGATTGGTTGATGATAGCAAAATAGTAATATCACCGTTTCATATAAGTTTTTATGCTAAACTACAAGGAAATGAAAGGTTTTTCACACACACACACACACTACCAAAGTGCTATAATGATTCAAATTTGAGACACTGATCTACAACCCCTTCAAGCCACCTTTTTTTTTTGTTGTTGGACAATTTCAAACTACTTTAATCAAACGAAAATTGATTTTTTTTTTTAATTCCAAAAATTGATAATGTGATGCATGCCACTTATGACTTTATAACGGCGGTTAAGTTTCTTTGAGGTACATTTTACTGTTCACCAGTCTGCATAAGTTGTTGTTGCAAGGATCACTTTTCCTGTATATTAGGGGCTATAGGATTTTGCTAAGACACCTCTGGTCTATTGTTTTGGTTCATAATGTCTCCTAATGATATTGATGCAATTGATGTGAGAACCAATACCCATTAAACCCAAACAAAAAAAACATCAAAATTACTTGAGGTAATTGTGAGTTTAGTCCAAGTTCATGTTTAAAGTTTGCTTACAACATTCAGTTACAGAAGGACTCGAATTCTAATTATACCATAATCCTAACTTATTATTTCATTTTTCTTCGTTACGGTATTAAATTGGTTGATAAATTTGAATAAAGATAAACATTATGAGAACATTAATATTCAAGACAAAAGCTTGGGATGTTTGTTTTCATTTTGTTAATATTGCGAGGGTTTGATGTTAATTCTGCGTCATTGTATTATCTGAAATCGAAAAACTGACATAATCAGACTGGATTCCCATGTTCTTAAATTTTTTTTTTTCCTTCTTCTTCTGCTTCTTCCTTGTGCTAATCGGAAAATATTGTTTAATCAAACTAGAAACAAAGTGATTAATTAATAGTTTGGATCAGACTAATGAGATTTTAGAACATTGTTTCATTAGATACCGGTCTATGTTTATTATGAGAAAACAGTGGCCTCCCTCAACCCGTGAATTCAAGTGATTCCAACGTTAACATATATACAGTAACATGACTCGTGCAGAAAGTTCATGAATCATAATGTACTTTTATTTCGTTTTTAGAGCAAATTAAATCTGGTTTTTGTACATACAGTACAGGTGCAGGTGCAAATTCTCATCACCAGTCGGGCATGAACGTGTCAAAATGAAAATCCCAATCATGCCTATTAATTTAACAAATAAAACTAGCTCTAATAACATAACAAATGGTTTAAATTAATTGAGCTAGCATTAAACAAATGATCACGTTAAACTAGAATAAGTAGCTGGCTATCGTCATCCTTATCACCCTATCTATAACCTAAATTCACGAGCTGTGAGTAATATATATGAAGGGGGTACTCCATCAAAACCAAGGTTTTTTCTCCCATTTGCGGTTGAGAGGATACGACTATCCATTTATACCGACGATTGAGCTCATATGTATAGAAAAACTTGCCTAATCTTTGATGACATAGCCCAATTTTTGTACTAGTTACGTATCCTATCAATACAATTCTATCGCTATTCTCTAAAAAAAAAACCCCATAAGAATTTAAAAAGAAACATAGGGTTTATTGTAATTAATTAAATTAATATCCTGTCAGGTGTAACTTGTAAATAAAATCATAATGTTTTGAGTTTGACAATGCGTCCCCCTACAATGCCCTAACACCCCGATTGACTCAAAAGAAAAATAAAAAATGAAAAAGAGCGTGTCTCTTGGCAGATTCAGCACTAGATATAGTTGCTTTGTTTCTTCCCTGCAGCAGACAGTATAATTTAATATAATTAATCAGTTTTAGTTATTAAATTAAGTTAATACCCTTAATTTATTAAGTTTTTGTAGTTACCCAGAAAGGTTCCATGAATGTAACCTGGTCTAGTTGATTTTGTATGTTTTAGTTAGGGTTCTGTTTATACATGCAGAGCTATACGCTATGTCCTTTTAACATATCCTTATCCTGGATTTTCTTTGTCTGTGTTCTGGAGGACTCCTTAGCTGTGGTTGTCTCTATGCTTGGGGAATAAACCGAGCTGTAAGTAACTATAATAAATTCGTTTTTGACCAAAACATGGAGATGAAGCAGACAATTTTTGTCATTATGTTGGGTTGTAATTCAGTTTGAATTGATGTGGAATAGATATGAGGTGTTTTTGTTTACATTATTGTTGTTATGCTTCAAACACGATTGTTATTATATATATTGGAGCTTCGATTTCTTGTTCTAGGTCTTTCATGCATTTTGAAGCATGCACATGCATCAATTCAATAATGAAAAATCTATATGCACAACATTTACTAATCACATTATCAATATCGCTTTTATATTCCAAAATCGAGTTCTATATAAAATCTTAATTTTGGTTTTTGAAAATCATCAATACTTAATTAAGCAACTGAAGCTCCTCAATCATATTCCATAACTTAGCAAAGTGCTTGTAAGTCTCCTCGGATGCTACCAGCTGGGCATCGATCCAGCTAGCCTGTCTAATGGCTGACCACTTCACGTTTGTACCTATACTTGCAAACATGGTTACCACTATGTCATATTAAAAAAATATGGTCACCCTGATAAATGATAATTTTATAATAGTTTGCACGAGTGGTGCTTTGGAAATCCAATTAAAACTCATTTCTATCAGATTATAATATCTTTGTATTCAACCAAACATTTACTAGCATGTGCTTGGTTATCTTTATAAATAAATTCAATAATATATTTAATGGTGATCAACAAAATATATAGATGAGCACATTTTTTAAAGAAAATATTAAAATGACAACTATTTAATTGTGTGGTTAAAGGATTTCAAATTCCATCAATATTTTCGCAGATATGATCTTTGAGAGAATTCCAGAAAAAAAGAAAAAAGACGATTTGGATCATTGCAATACAATACTGAACAAACCCAACAAAAATGTCCCTCAAATAAATACTGTAATGGTCAAATTTGAAATGTCAAAGAAGCAAATGTAGTGCTGACTTTACATTATATAGATCTGCAGTGAGCAGATCTAACAATTGAAAGAGTTCGAACTGCATATCTGTTATCCATTCAATAAAACTTAAATAACATTTATACCCTGCAGTGACCACATCCCTGGTATGGAACTTGTAGTACCAGACATGGCATGTGACCCACAAAGCCATAGGAGCCTGCATGGGCTACCTTTTCAAGTTCTGAGAATACCATGATGTTAAAGTTCATTGCACTTTCGTTGCAGATAGACTCATCAAAGCAAGAACCTCCTCTTTTGGGCCTACATATTCTAGTGGACAAATCTTATTATACCTGCTCGCTTTACAGATTCTTTTCAGAAACAAGCCATGGCAAATACAATTGAGATCTCACCCCTTTCTTTTCTAGTTTTGTCCTCCACTTTTGTTAGAATAAAGGGTTGTCCAGCTAATTAAATCCCACTCACTCTTGCTTTGTTATTAAAAGGCAATGCATTATTGAAACTGCTGATGGTGATGAGGGAGAAAATTTGTCTAACTCTCACTTGCTTGAGTCCAGTAAATCGGAATAAATCGATAAATTCTAAACCCTAAATCTTTATTATCATGATTCGAGTTCAATCTTTGATTAAATCTAATAAAATAAAGTGCGTGAATACTAGTTTTTACATATTGCACTGATGGTCTCTATTTTAGATAAATTATTATGTACGACGGTAATGTTATATATAAATGCGGTGATAAAATCACTCGTTGCATTGTTCATGTACATGCAGTTTCAATGTTTTATAATTCATGTCTTTTGATAAGTACATATATTTTACTTCACTTCATGAGTTATGTGGTGGTGTCCATGTATCCTTGATTTGATCATATCAAGACTTGATTTTTTTTGTTTTTTGGAAACTTATCGTGACATGATTGCTTGCACTTTCCAGGCTTCATGCGGACTAAAATAAAATAAAATTAACCTCATCAAAGTGTATGCCTCTATCAAGAATCTATAGACTATGAGTACCTAAAATTGAAAAGAGAAAACATAAAAAATAAAAAGGCCAACTTAGTCTCATGTTTCACATGTTTAAACCTCATTAGGCTTGAGCATATATAGCTTTAAGGTAGTGGGAAAACAATAGGAAACATCTGTATATATGCAAAAGCTCAAATATTAAGGTATAAATTAATCGAAAGTGGTGCCTAGTAAATTGGTTTTAAGCACATGCAGCCCATTGTTGAACCTTTGCAGGTTCAAGGTTCCTTCAATTTTAACTCTTTCTGCTTCCCTCGATGCCATTTTGGTAGACAGGAAATCGAAGTTGGCGTCAGCAAAGCAAATGCAAAGCAAAGTCACCTTCCTAATCTCAATATCTAATCCTAATTAATCAAAAAGCGTGAAAGAATTGAGATTCCTTTTTTTCCTATGTTATCGTGATTGGACAAGAATAGCGTTATATTGCTATTCCCAATCAATTACAAGTGATTGAACGGGAATAACAAAATAATGATATCCCCGTTTCATATAAGTATTTCTCTAAATAAGGACCCCACCAATTCATTGCATGTAGGAGATGCTGCTCATATAAATTAAGGTTTTATACAAAATCACTCATGGTTAAGATTTGGTAATCAAAATTTCTACTACATCATATAGACAAACATTTGATTTCTCTAATAATATATAATCAATTGTATTTATAAAAAAAATGCTCTCAATTTCAATTTTTTTTTTAAATGCTTTGATATTTGAAACACTTTGGTTGGTGCATGCACCAACTACCACTCCTTCCTCTCAATCTCATCACTCAAAAAGTACCAAAATCTGTCTCTACCTTTGAGAATCTTTGAAACCCCAACAATCTTTTTCTTTTAAAACATGTGGAAATTAATGGGTTCCTCTCAATTTTCTAAACCATCCTATCTTTTCCTTTTCCTTGCTCAATTGAGCTTAATAATTCACGTGTGTCTTGGAGCAAGAAAGCTAACATCACTCTACCGACCTCCACCCATGGCCCTAACTTACCATGGTGGTGCTTTGCTTGAAGGGGACCGCCCAGTTTCAATTCTATGGTATGGAAATTTCGCACCACCCCAAAAATCCATTGTTGTTGATTTTCTTCTCTCTCTTAATCATATTGATCCACAAAAAGACCAACAATCCAAGTCCTCAGTCTCTCTCTGGTGGGGCACAGTCCAAACCTACATGAAAAAAGCTGGCAAAAAGCCAACCCGCATTTCTCTCTCAACCCAACTCTCAGACAAAAACTACTCAATTGGCAAAAACTTGAAGAAATCTCATGTCTCCGAGTTGCCTCACCGGGTCAACTCGTCACCCGGTGGGTTGACTCTTGTCCTCACATCGCATGACGTGGCGGTTGAGGACTTTTGCATGAGCAACTGTAGGTCCCATGGCCACAAAGGCAACTCGGTGACTCAATGCCCGGGTCAGTGTGCGTGGCCGTTCCACCAACCCGTGTACGGGCCACAGACATCACCGCTGGGTGCACCCAACGGTGACGTGGGGGTGGATGGCATGGTCGTAAATATCACGAGTCTTTTGGCCGGTTCTGTGACGAACCCGTTTGGAAGCGGCTACTATATGGGCTCGGCTGAGGCTCCCCTGGAGGCGGCTTCGGCTTGTCCTGAGGTGTACGGGAAAGGGGCTTATCCCGGTTATGCTGCGGTGTTACAATTGGACACAAGTTCTGGTGCGAGCTACAATGCGATTGGTGTGAACGGGAGGAAGTACCTCTTGCCTGCTCTGTTTGATCCTAATACTTCTCAGTGTTCAACCGTTGAGTGAGAGTGTTGAGCTTAGAAGGACACGTGGCTCTTTTGTGGTGATCGTTGTATATATTAATGTGTGGGTGTAAGTACAAAATGATGCTGTTAATGTAACTATTGCACTTGAACCCATTTAGTAAATGAATTTCAATTGGCAGGTTTTGTTGCTTTCAATTTCAATGCCTCCTCGCACGTATTGAGAATTTTGAAGGCAGAAGGGGCCATGCAAAGTGGCTCACCTGGTTGGGATGGGCTTTTAGTCCAGCTAAAGATGTGTTTTGTGTAGAAGTTTACGTATGAACAGCCCGTTTACAAAGCCACATCCATGTCAATGCAAGAGGTTTTAGGGCTTGTTCAAGATCAGCACAAATATAAACATCGCTGAATTTGGGTCCTTATAGTTTTGTTGTCTCGAATTAGCCCATGTACTTTACTACACGTGCCTCTCACGACCAAACCGGAATTTCAATATATATTATTTCATATAAGCTTATTTGAAGGATTCCTCAATAGAAAGAAGACTATATATTATTTTATACAAGCTGTATTAGAGAGGGGGAAATCGAAACCATTTGAGCTATAAGGTCCTAAATGTGAATTGAGAAGAGACGATAGGGTTATATAATTGGTGAAATCTATGTGATGTGTCAGCATGGGCAATTTGGCAGTGGACAAAAAAGCATTGAGCTAGGGAATGAGTTTAAAATTACATTCCCATGTTTTGGGAGAAATGAGAGCAAAGAGATTCATCATTTAAATCTTCCCTTTACATTATACATGTCATATTGCAATTACTCAGAATATGGAAATAACCAGCATTTCCACTTCGCACAGTGCATCTATCATTATAAAAGCCTGAGCCAGATTAAATTAATCTTGAATTCTCTCATCTGTAACAAAAGAGAGAAAGAAAAGAAAAGAAAAATCCTCCATTTCTCATGGCTTCAAGCACGAAGACTACATCCCTCTACATTTTTTTACCAACAAAGCTGAAGAGGAAGCAAATAGGGCCAACAATCCTGAGGAACAAGTAAAAAGTGTTGAGGTGGAAAGCAGAGGGTTTTTACCAAAATGGAAGACTAGTTCCTTTTACACTTTTTTACCAACCAAAGCTGAGGAAGAGTTGGAGAAAAGGCCAGCTATACCGAGAGATGCGTAAAAACTGTCCAGGTCGAAATCAGAGAGCTTTCATCGACACAAACAAGGGATTATTTTTCTTCATAGAAGGTTTGGTGATTGCAGGTCCCCTAAATTTGTTTAGTATCTCTGGTTTGGCTATAAAACATCAAGACAAACCTGAAAGAATAATTTAGACGTGTTTGCATGAGACGGAACCAGATATGGTCCGAATAATGCCAATTTAATTAACAACTAGATTCAACACAAATAAAATAATTAATTAATTAACCAACAGTGATTTAATCAAATCTTTCTACTTCCTCTGCGCTAGAATCACCTGGCTGACCACCTTCTCAAAATCCACAAAAGACAACCCACTAGGACCAGTAGTGGCCTCCTTTGCCAACTTCTTCCACTCCAAGGTTTTCTTCCTCATCTCCTTGCCCTCCTCTCCCTCCATCAACTTCCTCACAAGCCCCTCCACATAATCTCTTTTCACATCAGGGTCTATCTCCAACCCTATCCCCCATTCTCTGCAACTAAACCTACAATTGGTCTGCTGCTCTGCAAAGAAGGGCCAGCAGATCATGGGCACTCCACCACACACACTTTCAAGCGTAGAGTTCCATCCACTATGCGTCAAGAACCCTCCTATGGCCGGGTGGCTTAGGACTTGTTCTTGAGGGCACCAATTCGCCAATAGGCTCCTTTCTTTCGTCTCATCCACAAACTCTTTCGGAACCACAGCTGATTCTCCCCCTACAAGGTCAGGCCTAATAGCCCACAAAAATGTATGCATGCTGTTTGCAAGCCCCCAAGCAAACTCAATCAGCTGCTCAGATGTCATGACCGTGATGCTTCCGAAATTGACATAAACCACAGAGTTGGGTTCTTTCGTGTCGAGCCATTCAAGACACTCTGGTTCCTCTGTCCACAGATTTGACCCGATTGACTTCAACTCGTTGTCTGCTGGTATCTGGTTGAGTAGCAGATGGAGAGGTCCAATGCAGTGAATAGGCGAAAGCAAAGTTGAAAGTGCATCTATGATTTCATATTCTAAGTCATAAAACGTGTTCAAAATGATAGCTGAGGCTTTTCTAGCTCGTGTTGTTTCGTGCAGGATAAAATCCAGTATGGGGTCGTTTGGGTCTGTGGTTCTCATGAAGCTTGGGATGTCCCTCAATCGGATATCTTTCATGCCTGGTATCCAATCGATCACAGTCTCCAAGTATCCGTTTGTCAAATAACTGACATCTGCAAATTAAATCAAATTATCAAATTAGGAAAGTTAGTTAACATTTTAATTAAAATATAAGTTAATCATATGAACAACATCAGTCAAGATGTGTCCGACTGTAAAGTCAGTCAATTTCCGAATGACCAGCTCAGAAGGTTGAATTCACTACTTCATACCACACACCATTAATAGGCCGCCATGTTACAGGATCCAGTTCATTATCCATATCAACCAAATATCAACAATAATTAATGTACTGCAACTATATGGTCGGAGATATCAAAACAATGCGATCTAGTTTCATACGAGTTTTTCTGCAACAATAAACACTAGATTGTTTTGTTTTGTGTTTTTTCCAAATTTGTATGCAGTTTATTATTAAAAATGAAAAGCATAAGATAAACACAAGCAAGCGCAACATTATTTGGGTCTTTCATTTTGATTGAGATTAAAACCTTTAAGAGGAGTGAGACCCTTTTCAATGAGACGATGGTACTGAACGTAGGACATGAAGCCACAGGCACTTGTTGTCCAGAAAAGCACTTCTGGAATCCCTAATTCCTCTGCTGCATCAAGAGTGAAGCTCATGGCACCATCAGAAACTATGCAACTCACAGGAGGAGAAGCGGGGGAAGAGTTGAGCTTAGACAAAAGCTCTCTGAAGTGAGGCAAGCAGTGTCTCCTGGTGGAGTAACACAGAGATGGTATGTCTTGGGTGACACTGGCATTCGTCGGAGGCAGGCCATCCGGAATGTTTTCGAATCGAAAGGAAGGAAGGCCATCGTGAGAGTTGGGGCCTCTGGATTTAAGAAGGCGTTTGTGGTTGAACTCTGTGTTCACAAAGGTTATGTGGAAGCCCTTGCAGTGGAGGAGCTTGGCTACTTTGAGCATTGGGTTTATGTGGCCTTGTGCTGGGAATGGTATGCAAACTGCATGAGGCTTCTCTGCCAAACCAATTGAACCCATTTCTCTGTTTCTCTCTGTTTTTATTTCCCTCAACACGACACGAACACGAAGCTAATGAAAATGGAAATGGAATGGCGTGGTGGGAAGAGGAAGTGTTCACAGTTTATGTAGAAGGTAAAGGGTGGGTTGATTTTTTTTTTTTTGGTCTGAAGGGGGGTGGGTTGATTAGGTTCACCTATTTAAGGGAATGACATGACCTATGACAAGTGTATTTGATAATGTATTTTTCTATAATAAACAATAGAAACAAGAACAGTGAAAAATAGGCTGTTTGAATTATGGAATCAAATTGCAGAACAGGATGGGTTCTAACAAAATAATGAATCCTCATAAATAAAGAGACTTATTATATTACATGTGTTCCATGCCACAAATAGGAACAAACAAGTGGGACTAGTGTGAAGTAAATGTCGAGCATGTTCCACGGTAGGACAAAGATTACGGGGATATCACTTTCACTTGTTTTGGCGGACTAGTGTGTAGCATTAGAGCACTTCCACCAGTTAGCCCCTTGCCATGGCAAGGGGAGCTCTAGTGCGGATACTATTCACGTGAATAGTGGCTGTCCTAGCCCCCCAAGCAAAGTGTGTTTCCAGCAGTTTTAGGCTTGCCATGACAAATACTATTCATTTTTTTGTTTTTTTCACAACTTTTTTTACTTAAACATTTTATTTGGATAATATTTTCGGATAAGATTTTTGGGTTTCTACGTGTCAATACTATTCATATCGGATAAGATTTTTGGTTTCAAATTTCATATAAATTTCAAAATTCAAATTTCAGATAAATCAATACAACTAAGAAAATAAAATACATGAATGACCACTAAAACAAAAAAATACAATGAAATGAAAGGCAAGCAAACTAAGAAATGAAATGCAAGATTTTATTTTATCGGATAATATGTTCGGATAAGATTTTATTTTATTTATTTTATTAGTTGTATCGGTTGGTATTTATAGAAAAAAAAAAAGTATAAGGATTTGGTGTTAAAAGTGAAGATTATTGGTTGGTATTTATAGACACTGGCGGACCCGGAATTTTTTTAGCGGAGGTGCAATATTGACTAAGTATGAAAAATGGTTTTTCGGAATAATCATTTTCTCAAGATAATTTTTGGCGGCTTTTATTCCTTACACATCAAATAAGAAAACTTGATTTTATGAGATTTTAGTATGAAGTATATATTGACTTAATAAGCCATCATTTTTAGCCTAAATCATATTTTGCACTAAAACCGAATTTTCATATTTTGATTTGGTGGGAATTTGATTTTCTAGTATTTTTATTTGAATCCAAATGGGGGGTACTTCTTTATTTACATTGTAAACTTAAGTAAATGGAGTAATATAAAAATAAATAAAAGTAAAAGGACAAAGACATTTACTTAAATGTTGAAAATGGAAATAAGGTATAGAGAGAAAAAAAAAAGAAGTAATTTTTTGGTAATTTTTTTCAATTTTTTCAGATTTTTTTTCAATTTTTTATTACAAAAATATTGGTTGCCGTTGGATTGGAGCAAAAATTATGATCGGAGAGCCCAGAACACGACACATGGCACATAATTGTTGGCGATACTGTAGCGCTGGCGTCACGATGACGTCAGCACGGGCCAGCCCTGCCCTCGAGCCAGCCAGTTTTGCTGGGTCCCACCATCTTGCCCGGGCCTACCTCCACTGCTGAAAATGAGTTTTTACCCCAAACCCCCCCTCCCCAGCCCTCCCATTGGGCCCCTTGCTGGAAATGCTCTTATTGGTCGTGCTATCTCCATTGCAATTAAGGCAACTTGTTTTTGCGGGGGCCATAACATAATTGATCTCTTTGTTGAGAGAGACCACTCTTAAATGGTGGGCATGAACATTACTATCACATTATGTGTGGTTGAATAATTTTTTGAAATTTAAATAACGGGTAGATTATATCAAACTAATTTGATAATACATAATGTGATGATAATGCTCACTATAAACACTTTTTGAACACTTGGATTGGATATGATGATTCCATTATTTTGCATTGGGAGTTAGATTTCAGATATACTGTTGGATTTGTTGGTATATGTTAAATGAGTTCATCCTATGATTAAAAGCTAATGTAATGTGAAAAAGTATCATCCAAGGTCATT